CATGTTTCTGGACTGTGGGAGGAAGCCGGAGAACCCGGAGAGAACCCACGCTGCACGGGGAGAACATGGAGACTCCAGAAGATCCCAGCGGGATGCGAACCAGAGACCTTCATGCTGCGAGGCAACAGTGCTACTAACTGCACCACCTTGCAGCCCACTCAGAATTCAATTAAGGCAAATTATTATCTGTGGTTTTAGTTCGATTTACTTCTACACTTAAGCATAGATTTGATTCTTCCGTATGGAGAGTTTTATGCTCCAAACATACAGCATGTTTTCTCACCATAAACTTTGACCTCATAGTGCTTCAGTGTCTCTCCAGCCTCATTCGTGGCCACACAGGTGTACCTCCCAGCATCCTCCTCTTTAGCATTGAGGATCTGCAGCGTTCGTCCACCTGTAAAAGAAAGGGTCAGAAATGTACACCGCTAATCTCACGTGATTTTGTTTTTTTTTTAGTTTCTTTTCTGCACACGTGATCTCTCACCCGGAAGGACTCGAACGTTGCGGCTGGATTCAAACGGAGTGCCGTCCTTGAGCCAGGTGATCAGAGCAGGAGGGTAAGACTGGACCTCACACACCAGTGAGGTGGGGCTGCTCAGGGTGACGGTCACCTCCTCTGCAGAGATGTCCGGGCCTGACCCGGCGATGGTGGGAGAAACTGGGCAAGAAAAACAAACCAACCAAATGAAGAAAAAGACTGCATCCCATTCATGAAACATTTCAGACTGAGTTCAGAGGAGCTGTGTTTGTACCCAGGACGTTGAGGTTGAAATGCCGGCTGCGGTCTCCTGCGCTGTTGGACGCCAGGCAGCTGTACCTGCCGGTGTCTGCAACCTGGGCCCCGGAGATCTGAAGAAAACGGCCGTGAGACAGAACTTGGTGGCGTCTGTCAGGCACCAACAGCTGCCCATCCTTCAGCCATTTAATCTCTGGTACAGGATTACCTGGGAAATTAAGAATGGGAGTTAACGGAGCAGCAAAGTAACGAGATTATCTTCACAGTAACTTAGACTGAGGATTGATCTGCACATTTTTTATTAGTGGACGATGTCATTATATCATTTACCTGATGCCTCGCAGGTGAGCGTGATGTTGTGTTTCTCCTTTACTTTAGTATCCACCACAGTTCCCTCCTCCACAATGCTCGGTGGAACTGTGGATGAAAACAATGAAATGGTCTCTCTGTCTTTTCATTTTAATTACTCAAGTTGAACCTTAAAGAAAACTTTTAAATGATACAAATGATTAAAATGTTCAAACAATATTCAGCCACAAAACTAAAACAACGATACCAGACGTTGACTATCAGCATACCGAGGATGTCGAGGTCAAAGTTCTTCCTTTCCTCTCCAGCGCTGTTAGAGACGATGCACGTGTACCTCCCAGAATCCTCCACTGCAGCGTGCATCAGTCGAAGGCTGCGACCCCCTACAGGCGAAGCAGCTCAGTTACTAATCAATTATCTATCAAAGAATGTATTCAGAGGCTACGTCCTGCTCAGTCTCTGTAAGACAAACAACCAAAGAACGTGTAAAAAACATTTTAAGCCTATTGAAAGTAAATTGCTCCTATTTGAACACTTGGATCAATTGACAGAAAGAATTTGAACTTTTAGACTCACAGCTGTTAAAACATTTACAAAACAGTTTAATGAGATTTAAGACAAATTGCGTCTGTCTAGAAACAGCCAACCAGGGTTCTCATGAGAAAACAGGTGGCAACACTGACACCAGGATAACTCTGCAGGGAACTGAATTAATCGTACGTTCTTCGTGTTAATTTGAGCCTTTGACAACATAAATGTTGTTAATTCTCCCTCACTCAGCACTTACATGTGCAAAGGCAGGTTGGGTGGCAAGTTCAAGTACAGGGATTAAGGATTGCTTCACAAACACCCGAGACATCTTGCTAGATGACTGAAAACACAATTCAAAGCAATTGCTTCTGTTGGTCTTCTTTCACGGACCTCTGTCTGCTGCCTTTGGCCCCACTTGGAATGATCCTATTACACCTGATTACTGGTGATGAATTGCGACTGCTTGGCCTTTAAAACCCTAACTTGTGAGAAAAACTGTTCAAGTTGCTCCTTTAAAAATGTAGACTATCACTCACATTTATTTATTCCTGAAACGGACAGAAAGAAAACATTTCACAGATCTTTAAAGCTGAAGTCGGCAGTATTTCCAGTCATCCTCGGGCAAACAGGGACATTTCAGCTTATTGTAATCCAATGAGCAGAAACTAGACTTCTGCAGATCCTCTTGGTTCCATTTTCGGGCTTTAGAACATTTTGCCCATGATGGGAGATTTTAGCCAATCACAGGGCTTTTCAAGCACAGCAGGTGAGAGACCATAAAGAGCAACAGAGTGATGAGTGTTTGGTGGGTTTTTGTGGTTCTTCCAGATGTTTTCCTGCCCAGACTTCAACATATCTGACATCACATGCAGTTATTGAAAAATACTGAAAATATATTTTTACATTTTTCAGGAACAAGTCTCTCACAACATCCAAAAAGATCAGAGAGTCAAACAGGTACTGACCTGAGAGGATGCGCACCGAAGTAGTCGCTTTAATCGGCCGACCATCCTTCAGCCAGGAGATGGCAGGAAGAGGGATGCCAGAGGCCTCGCAGCTCAGAGCGATTGGGTTCTTCACCACAACACTCACATTTTCTGGAAACTGTACCTGACCAATGATTCTGGGTGGGACTGAACAAGACAAGAGGGAACGAGGGGACAGGACACCAGATAATTTAACACCGACACTCCAGTCTGAAGAAAGATGAACACAGCAACAACTAACATCAGCTAAAACAATCATGAACTCATACCGTGTACACTGACGTCATGCTTGCTGTCAGCCTGTCCTGCCACATTAATGGCGATACAGGTGTAGCGTCCCGTGTCTGACACTTTTGCGTCTTTAATCTGCAACAGCCGGCCCTCGTTCAGGACTTTGGCGCCGTGCTGGCCCGTGATAGGTCGTCCGTCTTTCAGCCACGTGACGGCGGGTCGCGGGACGCCCTCTGCAGCGCACTGCAGAGTCACATCACCTCCCTTCGTCACTGTGACGTCATCTGTGTCGCCGTCACTGCGACTGATAGAAGGGCGGACTGAAGTGAGAAAAGCAGGTGAGTTGTGAGTCATTTAAGCGATTCAGCCACATTGAGCCTATACTGCACATGTCTCCACATTACTTCATACAGTACTGTCATACTGTAAGTCACAATAAAGTGCATCGAGACATTCGCCTGAAATTGTAGTTATTTTAAACATCAGGTTTTTATTTTTCTGTTAAAGCATTCCTCCCTTTGGTCTCTACTAGTGATGAACGATATTAAAATTTCTGGCCGATACCGATATCCGATATTAAGACTTCTGATATCGCCGATAACCGATATTACTGACGTCCATGTTCAGACCGAAAAATGAACAGAAGAAGAAGAAGCCCAAACCACATCAGACCACATAGTCTTCTCTATTACATCACAAAAGTAAAACATATTTAAACATATTTTAACATAATTAACATTCACCATTTAAGTAAAAACATCTCTGAAATAGCAGCGATATCAAACGTAGAGACGAAGGCGCTGATGTTTGACAATCATCGGCTAAATTTGTTCATCGGACCGATAACGATATATGGGAAAAAACACTAATATCGGCCGATATCGATGTGGTTGCCGATATATCGTGCATCTCTAGTCTCTCGTACTCTTGAGCTTCTTTAGTTACCATCTTCATTGCATTGCTGCACTCTCTATATATAAAACACATCCCTTTAGCACAGGAGAAAGGTCTATTTGAACTACTTTCCAATAATAAAAGGCAGAACAGCAGCCGAAACAACTTTGATCAGCAGATAGTTTTTGTGGTGTGGACGTACCGTAAACCTGCAGGCTGTACTCTTTGGAGGTGGTTCCAGCTGCACTGGAGGCTGTGCAGGTGTAAGAAGCAGAATCTGCCCTCTCAGCGCTGGAGATCTGCAGCTGACGACCTCCTGACAAAACCCTGAGCCGCTGATCCGACTTGAGTTCAGACCCTGACATGGACACAAAACAGAGGCTAGGGAAGGTGTTGGAACATGCCACCCTCACAGAACTCAGTGCTTCCCACATTGTCCATATAATATATGTCTTCTGCTCTTGTTGCTTCACTCACCGTCCTTCCTCCACGTCAGGCTGGGCGGCGGGATGCCGCTGGACTCACACACCAGAGTGATGAGACTTCCTTCGATCACTGTCAGCGGAGACACCTCCTCTGAGCCGCGGATGCTGGGAGAAACTGTAACAGCGACAAGACACCAAAAGGAGGCGCTCACATCACATTCAGTGGTACGTTTTCATTGGAACAGAGTGAAGCAGAAGTGGTACTGATCAGCTGCTCCGAATCAAAATCCCAGCTATGAGCCTCTGTTTATGAAAATCAGAGATGAAAAAAACAATTAAATCCCCTGACAGAAGTATGTATGAATTTATTTGTATCTTTTGTTTTTTTATTACATTAACTACAAAGAAAGAGAGGATGTGAAACTAAACAGGATTTCTTATCGTAAATTCTGACTTTAGGTCATTTCAGAAGAAGCTTTGGTCTTGTGAGCGATGGCTCAGCCTTGTGAAACATCTGCATACAACTAAAACAAAGTGCACATTTAAAAGTTTCCGATGGTACAAATACAGATGAAAAATGGAGATGAACTCACCCCAGACATTGAGGTTGTAGTTCTTCTCTGTTTTGCCGGCGACATTGGTGGCTTCACAGGTATACCTGCCCGAATCCTGCACCTGGGCGCTGTCGACCTACCAATTCAATTCATAGAGAAATCCCTGAATGCTGATCATAGACGTGAACAATTAACCTCTAAAGCCAGTACTAAAGGCAGTAAGTGCAAGAGTGAAATAGTCATTATTAAAAGGGACCCGACAGGACAAGTCGTGCTCCGTAGGTGTCCTAGATGTTTGTGCAGCTTCTAATGAGCTGTACCTTGACCAGACTTCCATCTGCTGACACGGTCAGACCAGGCTTCCTAAACAGTGGGCGGCCATCTTTGCGCCAGGCGAGGGTAGGTGGAGGGATTGCATCACTCTGGCAGTGCAGCTCCACCGGACGACCGAACATCACCGTAGCGTTCACCTCCTCGCCCTTGATGTTAGGCGGCACTGAAACAAAGACAAGCCACTTCTATGACAGAGCAGATACGACTCTGTCACACAGAGGGTCAGTAAACATGAAGTTTATCCCGCTAAGCCACGCTAAGTGCTGTAAACTCTCCAGGTTACCTCACGAGCAAACAGCATAATTGCTTCCTGAGATGCACAGGCTCTGCTAGGTTGGGCATCTGGTGCTCTTTAAGTACAAATTCCATCTCGGGCAGTGACAGCGCCGTTAAACCAGTTCAACATTTGTTTGTGGTATTAAAAATTGGAGTTGTTTCATTTCCCAGAAGTTCATGAAACATAATCTCCATGGAAATTTTTGAACGTATAACTGTGATGCATTCAGGATTTTTAAAAAAAAAAAAAAAAACTTTCCCTTTACTCTCTGTGTGTCATCAAGCAAAGATGAGTGTTGCTGAGAATTTGCCTTCTGAACGCTGGTGGACCGAAACGGAAAAAGTTAACTGACAACTTCAGAGCAGCAGCCTCCCTCTACGCTCTAACAGCAGACATGAATCCTTTAAATGTTTTATCTACTTTCAGCTTCTGTTTCTGAGTTTTCACAGCACACAGTCTTCTGGTGAATACGTCGAGGTCTAGAAAATCACTGCTGCCTAATTTCACTTGCATTGGAGCGACAGCGCCGAGTCACCGAGGAGGGACAGAACCAGCTCGGTGGGTTTGACCAGACACAGGAAGCCGCTGAAGAATGGTAGCAATTACTACAACAAATCTGCCTTTATTTCTGTGGACAAGCTCTTTTTGATCTCTTTGAGGACACACACATCATGCGGATGTTTGTATTACGCGTACATATGCTCACACACACACACACACACACACATACGTGGACGAGGACAGACTTCATACATGTAAACTTGTTGTCTCGTGTTACCTCAGTGACATTAGCTGTGATTAGACCTGTACAACAACTGATCCGCCGTCAAGCTCAGCGCTGTGCAGGGAACTGACAAGGTTTACTGAAATGCTAAACTCAAACCATGCTTCCTGTGCACATGTTTTGCTCAAGGCCTTTGTCAGATATTGTTTCAGTGTTTTAATTCGAGTTTGGTGCTCAGTCTGGTGCTCTGCTGAAAGACGTTCTGCAGTCGGCCGTAATCATCACTTAGCAAAACGAGGGGGAGAGGAAGACGTTAGAGACATGAACAGGAAGATTCTGTCCTGAGGTGAGGAACCGGTGCCTGCAAACCACATGTAAAATGAAATATTGGAAGCTTTGGAAGATTAAAAAGCCTTTTTATCTCAGGCTTAACATTACTGCATGCAGCGCAGCATTTTTTAAAGTCTGGATCATGGTGACGATGAAAGTTAAGTCATCGTTGGCTTACATAAGGCTGCACCTGTGATCCAAAAGCAAACAAAAAAGAAAACCCACGACTGAAACGCAAAGCAAAGGACTGAAAGCTGCTGTTACACACTTTGTAATACTGAGACTAACACTAGAGAAAACTAGCTTCAAGCTTTTATTGTTTTCTGATGTTGTCAAAAGTTTCTTTACATCAAATTTCTAATTAAAACTCCAGGATGTGCATCTTGTGCAACCAAATGTATGTAAACACAATTTTATTAAAATTAACATTCAGCTTTGTTGGAAATTCCCAAATGCATTCTAATGTATGAACTCCTCTGACTATAAAAACAATGTTTTGTGTTGTTTAGGACACTATACACAATCCATATATGTAAAGCACATCTATGCAACAACAGCTGACAAAAATAATTATTTTTTTCTCACCATAGACCCTCAAGTCGTACTCTTTGTGCTGCTCTCCTCCGGCGTTGACGGCCACACAGGTGTATCTGCCTGTATCACTCACCTGAGCACTGTTCAGAGACAGAACTCTGCCTCCAGACAACACCTGAGAGGGAGACGGAAAGACGTCAGCACATCCAAACGAAGAGTTCAAAACAGACAACTCCATTTTTGTAGATTTTCTGAAAACTTTTTTGTTGTTGTTGTTTGCTTGAGATATCAGTCAAACTGAAGCTGAGTGGATTTGACTCAGTAGAAACGACGAAAATACAGATAACTTAAGTTGGTGGATGGAAAAGTGGGTTTTCTGAAGGTTTGTGAAGATGCAGCTATCTGTTTTTACAAATGAAAATCTTCCCAGTAACATCAATACTTTGTGGTACATGTTCCACACAAATGCAGGATCACACTGAGGGGACATTGTGCCACAGAACAAACCCATGTCATGACAGTGCTACAAGTTTAGAACAATCTGTGTGCATTTATCTATCAATCTTGCTTTAGTTTTTCAGCATCATGAGGTTGCACAAACCCCTCCTAACCTACCTGTATGCCGTGTGAAACGCTCGCCACAGGGCTGCCATCTTTGAGCCACGTCAGACTGGGCAGGGGGACACCAGTGGCCTCGCACTGGAGCCTGGCAGCCTCGTTCACCACGACCGTTACCGTACCACCTCGGCTGGAGATGATCGGAGGCACTGTGAGGCACATGGAACCAGTCGAACACAGTGGAGGTTTGAGAAGCTGGATGAGGTGGATGAATGAAGTGTATTTCTGATGTGTGTCACTGACACTAGATGACAGGATGGGTAGTTATCATACCAAACACCTGCAGGCTGTGAGATAACTCAGCGACTCCGGCCAGGTTGACGGCTACACATCTGTACACCCCAGCGTCAGACAGCTGTGCCCGTTCGATCTCCAGCACCTGACCGCGCTTCAGCATCGTCACGCCGGCTGCACTGGTCAGAGGTCGGCCATCTTTGTACCAGGTGATGGCTGAGGCACGAGAAAGGGCGATTCAAAGTAAATAAAAAAAAAAAAAAAGAAAAGAAAAAAAGAAAAAAGCATTAAAATTAATTTGTAAAAAATATCAGGAAAAATACAATAAAATTATAATTTCAGTATATTCAAATAATAATAATAATAATAATAATAATAAAGACAATAAATAAATGAAGGCTGGAGTGCATTTGCAGTTCAGAAACAATCAAACATTTAATCAAAACTAGTAGAAAAGCTTGATTTAAAATGATTTAGAGGTGGAGCAGATCTTTTTTTCTAGACATCTAATGGATAGAAACTGAAAGCTGCTGTCTGGTTTTAACCCTCTGCAGAGAAAGCCTGTCATTCATTAGTTCTAGCTAATTAGTTCTTTCTAAACCAGTAATTATATTTACTATTTTACTTTGAATCATACATATAACAGTGTTTCAGATTTATCGTCATGCTTTTAGACGAGACTTGCTAGGTTTTGCTTACATATACAGCTTCAATTCTCACTATGCTTTAAAGACAGAGATAGCAGATTCTTTTTTTTTCTTACACTTTATCAGCTTTATTGCTCCATAAAGGTAAAGAAGCAAAATAGCCTAAAAAAGGATAAACTAGAACAATAAACATACAACAAAACGTTTTCAAATGTGACATGGTTTCACAGACTTAGTAAGCCTGTTGGAATGCAACACCTGCTGCAAAAAGGAAGAAATATCTCATGAAAAGAGTAAGTGCAATGGAATTCAGGTGCTTATCTGTACTGAACTCGTACAGTTCATCCAAATGGAAAGACGGAGAGCAGGAAGAAGCTGAAGCTGCCTTTAGGGAGTCATCTGAGATCAATTTTCTGACTCTTCCTTTAATGGTTAAAGATAAGGAAAGTTGCAGCAAAGCCAATTCCTGCTCAGCGGTCAGAGGAAAGTACGCCCCGCAGGCTGCGAGCGAGCTCAGCGGGACCGGGGAGGAAGTTTGTGGGCCATCTTACCAGGTAATGGGCTGCCTGTGGCCTTGCACTCGAGCTCGGTGGGAAAGCCTGACAGGATGGTCTGGTTGATGATGTCTCCAGAGGAGGGGATACTGGGAGGCTCTGAGGGACACACGCAGGATTACACACAAGAAAAACAATTTATTAGACGATATTCTCATGTCTCCACCTAGTCTCTTGGTAACAGATGGAAGGAAGAAGGAAGACGGATGACAGAAACCAGGTGATGATTGAGACAGGGGACAGAAAGAATGAAATGTGTATCTCTGAGTTACCATGGACACTGAGTCGTATGTGCTGCTGAGCTTCACCAGCTGCGTTGGTGGCCAGACAGGTGTATCTCCCAGAATCCTCCAGTCTTGCCTCTGTGATCTTTAGTGTTCTGCCTGCAGACTCCAGCTGTGGGAAACACGAGACACACAGAGCAGCCAAAGAATTCAGACTGGTAATTATGGTCCATATTAAAAGAGAGGATAAAAGTATGTTCTATAGGCCGAAGAGTCAGAGTTTCTCTCACGGTTTGGGATTCTGTGAGAAGAACAGCACACTGACTACAAATGTACAGTTTTAGTCGTGAATGCAGCAAATATTTCTACCTCTGTTTATCTGAACATGTGTATGTGAGTCGGTGAACTCGGTTGTTAAAGACAGGAAAATGAAAAAAACACTGTCTTATTAACCTCAGCATGTTTTTGGACTGTGTGGGAGGAAGCCGGAGAACCCACGCTGCACGGGGAGAACATGCAAACTCCACGCAGAAAGATCCCGGGTGTCCTAACCGGGACATGAACCGGTGACCTTCTTGCTGCGAGGCGACGGTGCTAACCACTGAGCCACCGTGCAGCCCTGCTTTGAGCATCGTGACTTATGAAAGTATTTTGGTGGATGTTGGAAACAAACGTCTGTGTGCATGGTTCCCTTGGAGATATGTATTGTTTATTGACATGTAATTTCAAAATTAATATAGAATTAGTCAGTCATGGAACCCACCTTTAGGTGCTCCTTTGTTGTGTCGACAGGTCGGCCATCTTTGAGCCAGGTGATGCTGGGAGGAGGGATGCCGCTGGAGATGCACTCCAGACTGGTGGACTTATGGAGAACCACTGAACGTTCTGCAGGCCCAGTGGTGCGAATGGATGGAGGAACTGGAGAGAGGTACAGAGAATAAACGTACTTTTTATATTTGCAACTGCAAATGAGGACAATAGGTATTTCCAAAAAGGCAGCGAGAGGTATTTACCCAAAGTGGGAGAATTCCTGCAGCTTGCATTTAAAATTTTACATAAAGTGTATTTAAAACATATCCAAAACTATTTGAGGTGATTAATTTTTCTTCAAAGGGCGTTTTTTTTTTTTTTTTGGTTTACCTTGGACCACCACGTTGAAGTCCCTCTCGTGGTCTCCTGCCTCATTCGTGGCCACACACTGAAAGCGAGCTGTGTCAGAAACCTGAGCGCGGGAAACAACCAGCCGTCGCCCGCTAGCTGCAACCCGCAACCCTTCACCCTGTCTCACTGGCTTTCCATCCTTGTACCACCTGAAAAGTAACAGCTGTTCCAGTGACTCTGTGCGTGCATACATGTCTGTTTATATCTATAAACACATTAGAAGGAGATCTCACGTGATTGAAGGTGCAGGTGTTCCAGTAGCCTGACACTCCAGCTCCAGAGGGCTGTTGATTATCACTGTGCTTTCTGTCACGTCATCAGCTCCGTCGATGAAAGGGGGAACTAAAAGGGAAACAATACACGTCGGAAATGTTTTAATAAGTAATATTGCAATGTACTGGAACAGATAAACATTGGTAAACTGTTTAAAAGACAAAATCGTCTGGGTGCAGCCCCAAACTGTGTCTACATCTCTTGGTATTTGTGAGGTTTGCATGTGACAGTGAAGAGGCAGGTGTCAGCTTCCCATGTGGAATGCACACATGCTGGAGATAGCGGGCAGCTTCAGCACAAACCGACGGCTTCAGCTCATGTTACACAGGAGTTGTCGTGGCCGAGTGGTTAAGGCGATGGACTAGAAATCCATTGGGGTCTCCCCGCGCAGGTTCGAATCCTGCCGACAACGGCAAACGTTTTCTCCAGCTGTCAGACTGTTCAAGAGGAAACTAAACATGCCAGGCTGTAGCTCTTCCTGTGTGTTTGAAGAAGCACTGTGTGAACAAAAGTTAAACACACTTGGCCCTTTAGAAAGCAGAGCATATACTGATTAACCCTATTCAGGCCGTTTGGTTTAGGTGACAGGTATTGCTTTTTCATTTTTGAAGATTTTTTTTACATATAAAAAAAAGGTTGTTTGTGCATTTGTGCATTTGAAACCAAAAATACTTCAACTTATCCGAAAATGTATTTGCCAGAGTATAAAAGTCTATAATGAACTCCAACAAATACTTTGCACATATTCTTTCTTGGGGTCCAACTGAAGACCTTCTACGTATGGAAGTCCTGAACAGGGTTAAGAATGCTCATGAACTGTCTGTCCAGCCACATAACTCTGTACGCTGCAGTCTGGCTTAGACAACCTGCACCGAGATAAATACTGAACAAATGTCCTCTGAGCAGCTTTAAAACACATGGAACCGAGTGAGCACTTAAGGACACAAATCTTCGAGTCTTTTCTCTCTGATGTGTTTCACTTGGCTTCATCAAATGTTTGGCTTCTATCATCAAAACTAAGAAGAAATCAGGGACAGTTAAGAAATGAAAGCTGAAAGAACAGGAAGACTTCCAGACTGATTGATGGGACTGGATGCACGTACACAAGCAAGGCCACCTCCTGGAGAAGTTAGAATGCACAGAGCTTAAAAAGGTGCTGAATGCATAGAGATAGTGACGTTTTCACATCAAGTCTTGTCAGTTTGGATCCAGCTGTGACAGTGTCTCAGTAAAACAGATGATTGTGCCCTATAAGTTAATGTAGAGTATTTTCTATGTTTGCTGTGTTTCCATACCTAAGACTCTGACGTCGTATTTGACCTCCTTCTCCCCGGCGATGCTCGTAGCCACACAGACGTAGCGTCCTGAGTCTGAGACGGCGGCTGAGAGGAGCTCTATCTTCCTGCCCTGCTCCAGCACACGGACACTTTCTCCATCGCGCACAGGGACCCCGTCCTTCAGCCAGGTGAGGGAGGGCGGAGGGTGTCCCCCCGCCTCACACTCCAGGACCAGGGGCTTACTGAGGACCACCTTCCTCTCAGCGGGCCCATCATCCCCTCCTGTAATGGTGGGGGGCACTGGGGAGGAAAGGGGCAAAACAGGACCAGAACAAAACACCGGCTTAAGCATCGTTGACTTTTCTGCTTGACTGATATCTTCTCTACATTCAACACTCAAGGTTTTCTTCAGTTAACAACATGTAAAATTGCTTTAAAGTTCTTCACCGTGTCCGGTTTTGTTCTTTAATGATCTTTTTTTTTTTTTTTCAAATGAACTTGCCTCCCAAATATCCACAGCTGCTTGAAATTATTCTCGACTGCTGCATATGTCTTTGTGCTGTGTGAGTAAACCCGAATGCCTTAAAGCTGAGATAAAAACAATAAATAGCTTCAGAGCTCAACAACAAACATCAGACGGGGCGCAAACAGAGACAACGGGAGGCTTAAGGTCCAGAAGTTTCTCATTTCCTACAATTTAGAAAAGCTGATTTAGTGTCAAAATGTGCTCTCGATTTTCTAAATGACATAGTTAAAACGAGTTTTTGTTTTTGTGTCAAGCTGACGCACAGCACGACAAAAACAAGATGGCATGTGTTGTATATCTTTGTTGGTTCTTACAGTAGACGTCCAGCTCGTAGCTCTTCTCGGCGCTCCCAGCAACGCTGGTCACCTTGCAGGTGTACTGTCCGGCGTCGGCTGCCTGCGCCCGAGGGATCTTCAGGTAGTGGCCTCGCTCCACATACTGAGCCTGACGGTTCGACAGGATGGCCTCTCCTTTTCGGTACCAGGTGATGGTGGGAAGCGGCACCCCACGCGCTTCACACTCCAGAGTTACCATCGTGTCCAGCAGCGCTGTCACCTCCGTGGTTAAGTTACCTCCTTTGATGGACGGGGGCACTG